AATATTACTTTCGTTAATTTAGTCCGTTAATTATTTGACACTGTTAACTTCAAGTGTTAACATTAGAGACTTGGTGACGGGCGGTCATTTTGATTAAAGTAGTAAGTCGATTACCGATGAGTCTGGTGAACAAAGGAGTGTGTGATTTGTACACGTCGTGTCTCGAAAGATCGAAATAAATAAATGTGTGTTTAATTCTTTTTTCTAGTTGTTATACCTTTTTCTCCCAGCCCAAAAGTAGTTTGTGTTTTATATAGTTAACTTTTAACGATTAACTTTGACTTGCGTAAAATTTTCGAGTATTTAACGCCTTAATAAATAACGATGTTAACTTTTTAATTTATGATTAACCTATTAATTAAGTTAACTTTCGCATTAACTATGCCAACCTGTCTACAGCAGATTTTATTAGTCGTCCCTTACCTCTGTACGTACGTACAAGAGAGGATTTCTTTTTTAATTTCATGATCACAGTAGTTTGTAGCTGCTAGTTTATTAACAATGAAATTTTCCTTGAAGGTACTTCTCCGTAGACTTAGATCGATATCGGGATTCTGCCGTTTCAATATAATCCAATCCCGCCTCAATATTACAAGGACTGAGTGCATCTAGACGTACAACGACATGGTGAATAAAGCGTATTTAATTATTCCCTTCCCTCTCAGTACGCCGTTAGAATTGTATTTTGGTTGTTGTTCTGTTAAATATCATATATTATATACTTAAAACAGAGTTAAATATAAAACTAAATACGTGATGTCAGAGAAATATATTTTACTTTTTTTATGTTAAATAAATTAGTGCTTGACCACAAACCGGTTTGATGGTAAGTGGCTATGTGATCGAAGAATTGTAGGCACTAGCTTAGTAAATACCCATTCACTCTACTCTTGAACGTATCCCAAGTTACAGCTAGACGGAAAAACTGACGCCGGCAACTTATTATAATCCTTTGCTGCGCGCGGAACGATGTTTCAAATCACTTTCACTGGTACGTCACGCCAGCCATCGCCTCGCCTACGGCATCACGATTAGAAGCGAATTTTTAAATTGCTGTAACTTTGATAAAACGCGTAGAGAAAGACCAAATTGAATTATTTTTCATTATGTTAGCGTAGCGACCTTTATAAAATAATACATTTTTTAAAAGCAATGATGTCGTATCATTGTCTTATAATACCCGAAATGCAAGTAAATTCAAATGTTTGTGAACTCTGTAAAACCGTTAGTTGCCCTTCAATGTTGAAGTTTATAGTTTTTTTATTAAATAATAAAATGATTTTTCCCGAGTAAATTGCGTTATTCTTTCATTCGTTATTTTAAGTCGGTGATACATTGGCGAGCCGGCGAGCTAACGTACTAAATCGTTGACTCGTCGTCTCATCGGCTTGTCGGCTCGTCGGCTCGTCGGACTGTCTGCTCTTCGACTCGTCGGCTCGTCGACTCGTCGCCTCGTCGCCTTGTCGACTCACTCTCGTGATCGATTGGCGTACCAAAATGTGTATTATAAGCGTTGGCGAAATCACGTATAAAACTCCCAGATGGAGTAATAATATTACATGGGTCTACTGTTACATTTATTGTATTTATAAATGTAAAATAGATACATAAACTACTTTGTTAAGACTATATCAATGTAAGCTTGGGAAATTCGTAAATCCGATTTTGGTCATTTCCGGAGCACGTGTAGCTACCCCAAAGATCGCAAAAAGACCGTCGGCTCACCGTTCCACTGGAGGATTTTTATACCGCTGACTTTTCATTTCAAGCATACACAGCAAGCCAGCTTGCCGGTTTTAAAGTTCGCGGACTTTTGGGTGCTCCATTGGCGGATTAAGCATGCGAGTTCGTTGGTGAAATAGCGGTTTTGCTCGCCAATGGATCGCTGGCCTAAGAAATATCAGAGGTCGTAGTGTGTCCTTTGGGACTTCCCTTTCATTTTCATTACATCGGTTTGGGGTCTGGTATTTATTGTTGAAACAATACTGCGGCTAAAAGTAAATATTCCATTTGATATTTATTAAAACAATATTTATTATGTTTACATTCTATTGATTGTTCACGTGTACTCCAGACGTTGCAAACATGCTTAGAAGTTTTCTTAAGGTGTGGATTTTTTCTCGGACAGTAATTGTGTCTTGCAACTAGCAAGAGACTAATTTTTTGCGCGTAAGTATTTTTGTTTTTATCTATGTGGTTTTGTATGTTTGTAAAAGCTACGGGTAAGTGTAGTACGGGCTTAACGACGGAATGTATTTAGCTAAGTATCTGGATCGAATCAAATTCATCACAAGTTTATAGTAATTGACTTCGCCTTAGATTCGCTTTCTCAACATAGTGCTAAAAATCTATGTGTTAAATATTGCTTGCTAACAACGTGTCCACAAAGGGTATTTGGTTCCCCTTTAACAATTTAATGTTATGCCGTGATTGGCGCTCAGGGGTCGCCGCACGTCGCTGTGATCATGTGTGATACGAACTGGAAACGGCGGCGCGCCTCTGTGGCGGCTAAAACTCAAACGGGATAACGCCGGTGACGTTACGGGTGTGTCAAAGTCATACACTCCGGTAAAAAGTTAAAAGTTTACAAAAGCTTATTTCTACCCTTTGCGCAGTTAACTCTTTTGATAGGATAGGTATAATCCGTTTAAAAACGAACCTATTTTTAAAATGATAACATTCTTTTAGAATTTTTTTCAATGTCTCTTGCAACACATTTTCCTGTGATTGTAATGGGCTGAAAAATTGAAAACTCCAAGTAGGTGGCGCTAGCGTTATTTGTCCGCTGTCATCTGTCAAAGTTTTTATACGTCATTCTCGCGAATCTTTTATAAAAATTGGCGGAATTTAAAAAATACCCCAATCTAGAGTGCATACAAAGCTAAAAAAAAGCCATTTCTTGCTACAAACAAATAATAATGTTGAACTATCTTGAAAAAATATATAATTATTTTTAAATATTATAATTACATCGTCATAAATTTACAACATATTGTAGCACTTTCAGTAAATATATATATATATATATATAACGTGGAACGAATTTATTTTACTTAAATTAACAAAGCGGAACAAACACTACGTAAACGTTAGGTTCAACTTGCCATAATAATTTTATGAAATTGCATCCAAATCGGTTTAAACATATTTGAGATTAGTTTGCACGGACTCACAGACAAACTAACAAACACATAGACAAAAATTCTAACTTATTAAAAAAAATAACTATTAATTAATTCGTTTTAATAAATATAATCTATAGGAATGTCAGGGTTAGATGTCTGACATTGCTTATCCTAAGTAAACCAGAATAGAGCTCGTCTGTTCGCTATTCCCCAATTAAAATAGCTCGAGCAACGCAAAGCTGTTCTCAAAGTTATTGCATAGGCGATCTTTTATGCATTGCTTTTATCTCTAGTCCGTTCAGTAATGAAAAAATGCAGATCTTTAATAGACAAAGCTTTATTCAGTTGAAACAATATTACACTTCATGTATATTTTTGGCTTTTTCTATAAAATTTCTAATTATGACAATCTTTTTAATTTGTCTTCTATAAAGAGCTTTAAATATTTAAGATAACTTTAATATTTATTACAATTTCTTCGTGAGGTATTTCAAAAAAAATTCTTATTGGAATAAAGCAAAAAAATCTGAGGCGTCGCGTCGTCCGGCTGAGATTGTTTCGTTTTATTTTTACGTTTAAAATATCTACGTAATCTAGAACGTTATAAGTTAATAATTAAAACGTTAATATTATAAATATTCAAACATGTCTCTATTATTTTTGCGATATCGTTAACCGCTACTTTATCTATGCCATTTAAACATGTGTCTATGTTAGTCTACGATTTCTCAAACACATGAAGTACAATTATTATTATCTATACCAAAGTGGGATATGAAATTAGCGCGGATTTGATTCCATCCGGTGGCCGTTAGACAAAGAACAGAAGCTAAGTAAATACATGAAATTAGCGGGGATTTAGATCTGGCCGACTGTTAAACTAACAGACTCAAGCTCGATTTACTTTATCGAGTACTGTTGCGAGCAAAAAACAAAAACAGTCAATTTAGTAATAAGTTGCAAATAGTAGTGTTCAAACGTAGGCGAGTGAGTAGTCACAAGTTGCCATATCGAGGAGACTAGTCGAGTCAATAGTTGTTTTATTTGTTGTTAACTTATGAACTGTACTTAACTCGTCTACGCTACACACCGCGTTAAGTAGACGGGTGGTGGGAGACGCGAGAGAGATGTCTACTTACACTAGACTCACTGAAAAATAGGATCGCGGTCTATTCAACTACTGGCAACTTACTACAAAGGCTGCTGTTGAAACGAATATAACATTTTAAGTCGCCGTGGACCCGACTTAACTTGCTCCTGCACTTTGTAAAGTGTAAATCGGGTTTCATAGACATAACTGATATAGAATAAGCTCTATGTTCCGTTTTCGTTTCTTTATCGTTTTTTTAGTTGGCACAGCTTCGCTATAGGCGTATATTTGTAAACATAAATGTAAGTTAGCGAATACAAGAGAGGGGTGGAGAGTCGCCGCGGGTCATGATTTTAACTTTATTAAATTAGGATTTTGTGGCGGGCCACCGGCAATGAAAATTACATTACATGTTGTCACCAATATCTGGGAATTTATGGAGTAGGTTTTCGTTGTAAATTAATGTTTGCACCATATATTAATTTAACAGAATATGAAACCTATTTGCCTCTCATCTCTATAGATGGACAGGTCATTGTTTTGCAATGACAGCTTTTGCTTCGTTCCAACTTAAACGAGCTTGTTGATGTTCCTGACAGGTAATTCTATCTCTATTGTTAGCTCGAATACTCATCACTTGTAACAACCGTAACGATCAGCACTAAAATGGCGAAAATCAAATAGGCACAAAATGTTACGCCCTATAGCCTGTCAATGTCTAGTGGTCAGTTGCACACAAATTGACGTAAAAGAAAGAATTTTTTAAAAAGTTAATGACAGTAAAATTTCATAATTTAGTTTGTCATCGTATACATTTTTAAACTAATAATGATTTCCTTGATTATGAAAAATTATCACGCACCAAGACTTAGTCTTACAAGGATCCTTAATAAGAAATGGTAAGATCTTTATACCAAATATATATAAATAACCATTTTAATAGCATAAGATATTTTGTATATCAATGTACTAAACTATAATAATGCATCAAAATTATGAAAAATATAGTAACTCTACCATACAAACATCGCATACGGTTTTAAACCTTTCGCTTTTAACAAAAATACAAATTGCAATTCTCCCTCCAGCCACCCTTCTCTTATGAGAGCCGCTGATGAAATCACAGATTTCATTTTGCTTGCATCTGTTTATGCTTTCAACTTTTGCTCCTTTGTTTTTAGACAGACAACGAATAAGAGTATCTGTGTACGGGATAAGGGTTTTCTCTGATCATACATAGAGCACTTTTTCGTATCGATAATGACATTAAAAGTTTACAATGCAATTAAAATAAAATTACAAAGACTTTTCAAAAAGGAGGGAAACAGCGAGGTCAATATGTAAATGCAAAAATCTAACGTTAATGATAAAAATATAAGCGAAACTAACAATACTAATTATCAAGTAGTTTAATTTGAATAGTTTATTTTTCCTTACTAGGTACGGAACCCTAAAAAGGCTTTATCATTAATATTGATATGTATATGTATGTTTTAAATGTCCTAATAGAATGTGTATATCATAAGAAAATTATGAGCTTTGAAATTAGGGAATGAAAACAGACATAAATATCATTGCATCATAAACAAAGATGAAATTGCGTATGTATCGCAGGATAATTGAGTGAGGCATGCACGAATGCACCGCGGGAATATTCGAGTGGTATGGCCCGTGAATGAACCCTCGAAACCAACCGATATGTATTTCCCGCGCCCAATGCGAACGTACATTCCATTATTCCAATACATGCTCGATTTTTGTTTATTATATTTGAGTACTAACTATGCTCGGGACTTCGGTCGCATGAAATACTGCCTTCTGCTAACATTCATTACTTAGGCTAATTTTACTTATTTTACTAAAAGTTACAAAACGTTCATATACACGTTACACATTCCTAAACAAACTTTCATCCTATTCTATTGTTGTCTTACACCCTTGAGGGTAAAAACTTTTTAAATTTTCAATGTAATAGCCTAATCGTTAAGGAAACGGATTTTCGACCACGAGGTCGGGAGTTCGAATCCCGGCATTCGACTATTGTCGTAAACCATATCCTAGCACAAGCCTAGAGCTTAGTTGAAATAGTACAAGAAATATTAGTAAATTTACAAAAAAATCTGCTAATATTTTATCAAAAAGAAAAAATATTTATATAAAATTAACAGTCTGGAAATTCAGTTTCAGGATTCTGACTGTAAAAATGACGATACTTGCATACCACTTTTCATCCAGCTTTTACCCTTTTTTCGGGTTTAATAGTAGCCTATGTCCTTTCAGGGGATCTAGACTGTCTGTATACAAAATTTCATTTGAATCAGTTCAGTAGTTTTGGTGTAACCGGTACAAAAACGCTTATAAGAATTTTAGATTTTTTTTACGATTGACTCGGAAAGTATAACTTATTTTCTATATTTCTGCAGAAATAAATTAACTGTCTTCCATTTATCATATGCAATGTTTATAGAATTGGAATAAGGATGGTGAATTAATAATGAAAAGAACGTAGCAATTCAATAAATGTATCTTTTTATTTTTTATTTATCCACGTTCATCGGTTCCTCGATCCACAAGTATGTAGTACGACTCTTTGCTTTTGTTGGTAAAATATTTCATGATGTTCTGAGAGATTGGTATTGAGCAAGCCTTTGTGAGAGACATTAAAAAACGTTGGTATTAGGTTGTAATCTCATTCGACTGACTCGTCCAAAAAGCATAAAATTCATTTTTCCAAATGCTTTTTAATTTTCCCTTCCAATAGTATTCAACCATATTAATGACGTTACACGGAAAAGGCAAATTACATTTATAATTATACGTGAAGCGCGTGAACTTTATTATAAACGATTTTAAGTTAACAGGAAAAAACTTTGATTATGAATTATACTCGAATTTTGACCAATATTTCATATTAACTAGATGTCGCCCGCAACTCTATCCGCGCGAAATTAAAAAAAATCTTAATAAGTAGCCTATGTTTTCTTCCAGACAATGTTCTATATTGTTCCAAATTTCATCGAGATCTGTTGAGCAGTTCCAGAGATACCTTCTAACATCCATTCATCCATTTAATCATTCGCATTTATAAGTAAGATTTACTATTAAAATAGTAGTCTTTTTACCCGTTAATGTGATTCGTATAATTTACTTGTCGTTGTGCCTACGCTAGAGTGTATCAGCATCAGTTGAATAAACGAATTATCGTTGATCCCCTGATATAGGTAGCGCAAATTCTCTGATACTTGCCCATACATTAAGTACCAAACGTACCTTGTTTTCAGTCTGATTTTCGGACAGTATTCAAATTGCATCAGTCCGATGCAAATTACACATTATACAGGCGGACTGACGGCTCTAAAAGTGGGTTTCCACTGTAAAACACGTGTAGCAAAAAATGTTGTCGTCCTTCTCACTCTACTTGAAAATTTAGCGACAGCAATTAGTTTTGTACAGATGTTTCGATGGTGGAAACTCGCTATTGTTATTGTGCATTTGACTTTGTACTTCGTCGCCCCGGCGTTAATAAATTACATTTAGATTCAAAGTTTCCTCGCGCCAGACGGATTACTCGTACATTTTGGTGATATTGTAACTCAGTATCTTTTATAGTGAAATTCCACTGCTGTGTTTTTTGTGTTTGTCTCCGTTTCGTCAAAGACAATGTAAAATATTAGTTTTCTATGTTTCAAATTGTTTTATTCATAAAACATAGATTTTTATCAATAAAGTAGATATTAGTTGCACTTCTGTGAAAATATAATTTATGTCAGAAGCAAAATTAAAACTGAAGGCAATATGGGCGTTTTTGTTTATATTTTATTAACCACTTTATACTACCTTTATTAAAACGCCGAGCAAAGCTTTTGTTCATTGAAAATAATTAAGACGAGACACACTTTCAACAAAAAGACGATACCTCTTTGTCCGTTCGTTTAAAGAAAAATATACACATGCTGTTAATTTGTTGCAGGAAGCAAAAGTTAATGAATATACGAAGTTCAAAAAATGATATATTACTTTTCTAATTTACCCAAGTTCATAAATGTACTAGTTGTCGCGCGCGACTCTGTCCGTGATGAATTAAAAATAAATTAATCCAGATTATATTATACATCTTTGCCAAATTTCACCGAAATCTCTGGAGGTACCTTCATACGAACATCCATTCATCCATCCAAACATTCGCATAATATTAGTAAGATAGTAAGATTGTATTTATATTTAAATTTATAAAAATTAGTAGTCATTTTAATAAAAAAATTATTAAAAATTCCGTTGGAAATGGATTTCCTTATTCTAATGGGTCTTGTTATCTCTTTGTAAAAGTTCTTTGCTACGACAATGGTATTTGAAAAAAATCGATTCAAAGTGCACTCTAATGGTGGAATGCAATCAGTGATGTTCAGACCAGGCAAAGTGCGCAAAGGCCAACTCGATTAACTGGTCGTCACTTTTAGCACTGCCATCCGGATCCACTTCCGTCAAACGATGTACATTTTTATCGAGACACTTCCTGTCCTGGCAATATTACGCTCTGGTATTTCGATATCGATTTTTATTTGCATTAATAATATTATAATAGTAAGATTTTTCGCTAAGTCAATAAAGTTTCTTTGTTCGTAAAATTATTAATATGACTTCTTGAAACAAGAATAATTTCACAGAATCCCTTGAATATACTAATACAAGCTTATATTATCTTGTTCATTGCGCTTAGTACAAGGAGACGCATAATAATTAATACAATCCTTTGAGTACATTTGCTTATTCGGAGTTGAATGTCGGAAAATTAATTATTAATTCAATTGCCTCTTCGTGCTTCATGAATTCTACGATGCATTAGTCTTCCAAATAGATCTATTAGCCGTCTTTTCAGATGTCACACTTCTTTATCATGACATCTTTAACGCAATCCATACATCTTTACGTCTAATGAGGTCGTCATATTCCACGTCCATATTAAAAATTGTTTCCTAACATTAGTATGAAACTTCACATAGCTTTATAAATCCTTAACAAAATGTTTATACAAAGTTGAAATAAATAAATGAGGTTAAATTGTGCTTATGCCTTTTTTCAGTCTCTTCTATCAGACGACTCCGGGTCTGCAGCTGGTTACATCCTTTGCAACAGATCCTTGTGGCAAAAAGGGAGGAGGTGGTGGTGGCGGGGGCAAACATACTGTAACGTACAAATCATACACCCCACCGCAATACAAACCGCACGACAAAAAGAATATGGATCTGAATAGACCGATGTCGCCGCATCTAACCATCTACGCGCCCACGCTGCCTGCTATGACTTCTATAGCCCAGCGTATTACTGGTAATAATATTAAGTTTATATTTTTATCTTAATTATTTTTATATCTAACTTCTTACTTATATTACAAATGCGTATGCTTGGATGGATGGTTATTTGTTTCAAGGTATCTCCGGAACAACTAAACGGATCTTGATATAATTTGGGATAGAAAAATAGATTTTTTTTGAATACCGAGCGGATGGAATGGCGGGCGACAGCTAGTTCTTTCAAATGCGTATGTTTGGGTAGATGTATGGATTATTGATACCGAGTAACTTCAACAATTCAAGGTATTTATTAAATTTGAAACTGAGATAAATTAGAGCTAAATATGCAAAAGGTATTAACGCAGACTAGTATGCAACAGTTCACTTCATCATCAGCCCACTATATGCCCCCACTGAGGGGCTCGGAACCTACCGTAAGTCAGGGGTGACTAAGCTATAATCAACCACGCTGGCTCGGTACGGGTTGATTGATACAGTTCAATTATTAGACCAAAAATAAACCTAACAAAGAGCCTATAATGGTGGGGAAAACACAAATCGACACCTTACTCGTTTCCTTCTTCCTCCTTCAAAATCGATCAAGCTATTTATATTTCTACATTAATGGGGTCACAATAACAGCGACGTTCGCAAATCTATA